TCCAAGTTTGTGGTCAATAATTTTACAGCAATTTTCAGGTAAAGATTCAACCTGTATCACTCACATCACTTGTCTTGCTTGTTGTAAGCAAAATTGATTGATTTCTGCTGATTATCCTGTGTTATAAATTCATGGTTTAAAGTGTGTGCTCGTGTATTTTGTGAGTTAACAGGTAAAGGATATGTACAACTGTTCAGTGTTCATCCAAACCACGGACTTAGATAATATAATTCCGTGTCCAAACCAATCAAATTAGTTAACCTCCCCTCACCCACCCCATGTAGTTGGTTTAGATTGTGTCCCATTTTTCAAGACTGTCCTATATGTTAATTTAGACCTGGTGGTAAAGAAACTTGCAATCTACCAGATATAATCAAATCTTAAATACACGAAGAATATTTATAATGAAATACAATTTATTATACCCAGAACATTAACTGCTTATTTTTACATTTGATCTAACTTGACCTCTCTAAGGTTAATTTTAAGTCCAAGAAAAAATTCACAATAAAATATATTTTACAGGCAATTTTTTATAAAGAATATACTATGTATGTGTACATATCACTATAGCAAGGTTATTTTATTAGATTAAATTAATCTCATCATCTTTATTTATGAAAAGTGCCTGGCACTAGATCATAAACTAGGGAACTCAATTAGATATAATTTCAAAAATAAAGAATGTCTTGTATTTCAGTTCCTTTTCCAAATGCATTTTATTACACAGGGGAGCATATGGTAACTGGACTTTTTCCCCAAAGTTTGAAGCAGATTCCAAGGGAATATTCAGTTTACTGATACATGTGCTTAAAATTTGGGCTCAAGACTCAAATTCAAAAACTTGTGGATAAGTATTGCATAACTCTTTTTAATAATAATATCTAGGCTAGATATTTCAGCCCAAAAAAAAATATAAAAAAAATTGGTACAGAAATATATAGCATCGACACTCGATCCATATTGATATTAAATATTTGAAATTTAAATATTTCTATAGTGCATAATTCCATAACCTACAACCTATAGGTACATGGTACACATTTATATATACAATGGAAGATATTATATATAGTAAATTGACATCACAGTATATATATATTTTGCTGCACACTTAATAAGCATGTGATATGTCCCTGTACCCCACATCTAATTATAGGTAAGTAGTGGGATTATTAGTGGAAGCCAATATCAACACATCCAACTAATACAGTACTTGAAAACAAGAGACCCATGGGCCTAACAGGTCACCTGAGTTGTAATGCAATTGTTATTTGTTGTTGTGATATGACAAAAACAAAAATTACATATGTATAGCAGGGAATTTTGCCCCTCCCCAGGGAGGAATTGGTACCCCAGGGGTTGTGAAATTCACATTTTGATTAAGCACATCAGGATATTTCCATCCATGAGAAGGTTTTCATCATATCTGGATCTGATGTAGACAATTATTGTTTTAGCTATTTTGACCCCTTTTGGTTCAGGCCCTTAGCTTTTACATGATGACAAAAGATATACACCTCATATACATCCGGTATACACCTTCTATAAATCAAATATATACACCTTCTCTACTACAAATATAAACCTCCCATACATTACCTATACATCCAGCATCAGCTCCTATAAGTCAAATATCAACTATACATCAGGTATACACCTTCTAAACATCAGGTATATACCTTCTATACAGGTATACACCTCCTATACATCAGGTATAAACCTTCTATTGATCATAGATCAGGTATACATATCCTATAGATCCTATATACACCTCCTTACATCAGGTATACATACCTCCCAATGATGCATCACATGCATCAGGTATACACCTTCTATACATCAGATTGCACCTATACATCAAGTATGCATGCACATATACATGAGGTAAATGTTAGGTCCATATTATCTGTAGGTAAGGTACCGCATCTTTATAATAGTTGTCTGATTGGTTCATATTGATTGCATGCACAGGAAATATAACATCATGTTGTGTGCTTGTGCTGGAGTTTCCCAAATATGTTCCCTTATTGTGGCCTCTCTAGAACAAGAAGCACAGGCGCATTAATTATTAATAGCTCACCTGGAAATTTATTGTTCATTAAAAGTTGTTGATTACCTCTTACCATACAAGAAATATCAGCTTGGGGATCTCAACAATTTCCATGTTATGACTGAAGGAGTAAGTCCTCAGGGGTTGGGTGGGCTCCATTAAGGACTATCTTGGTATTATGAGTGTTTTTCCTCTGCATGCCCAGCAGCATAAGGATGAGACTAATCTAGTATCATGACGTCCTGATAATAATGACATATGATACTAATCTAGTATCATGACGTCCTGACTATGATGGCGTTAGATACTAATCTCGACCAATATCAGCCCTTGGGCTGATATTGCAGTCTCGGGTTGATACTGGGTGTGATATGGAAAAAGGCATGTTTTATTCTGTTTCTTACATACTTACTAATAAAAGCTACTTTCTTATGATCTATTTTTTTTTTAAATATCGAAAAACGAAAAATTTCCAAAAGGGGTGTGATACGGTTTTTGCGGGCTGATACGGGTTTTGGGGTGTGATACGGCGGGGGCTGATACGGCTTTTGGGGTGTGATACGGCGAGGGCTGATATGGGTAAGGGCAATTGTGTCGTATCGCATACACACAAAAAAACGTATTTATTAGTAAGTATGTAATAAATACTAATCTCTCGCATTTATTACATTATATGCGTCGCAGCACCCAGATTACGACAGGAATGTCTTACACGATATGTCCATCATGAAGTTAAGGGGCATCACGGTGAAGTAACTTTATTTTTTGTCTTTTTTTCAAATACTACATAAACATATCAAGTGAGACTCCTTATGGAAAACAACGATCGGATTTGGCTGAAATAGATTCATAAAAATGATTAAATCTAAGAAAATCATCGGTATTCTCTACCTGTCTGACCGGGATTTCCCTCTACTAGCGCATGCGCATAGCACACAATTCCTCT